AAAAAAAAAAAAAGTTATGGGTAGGGGGCGCTGGAGAGTTGATTCAGTGGTTGGCGTCCGCCCTGCGAGCAGGGCGTGGAGTGGCTCCCAATTGCCTATAATTCCATCCTTCACCTCAGGCACCTGTATTGCTCTGCATGCCACCCACCCCCTGCCACCCACACCTACATAATGAAAAATAAACCCTTAAAAGCAATGATCAGATTAACCAAGCTAGCTGTACACTTGTAATCTTAGTCCTTGGGAACTGAAGCAGGGGCATGGAACAGTGGATATATCAGCTGGGTATACACAGACAGTTGAAGGCCAGTTAAGCTCTGGGGAGACCCAGACTCAACAGAACAAAACATGACCAAGGATTTAGCAAGCCCATCAGTAGAGCCACCAGCTCCATCAAATGTGCCCTTGAACCCTAAGCCTAAAGGTGATGTGGTTTAAAGTTAGTTATTTAACAGTTAATGCCTATGGAAAGTATATACAGACCTAAGGCAGTATATAGACTAAGGCTCAATTTTAGCCAGGAAAGAAAAATACCATTAGATACCTGAAATGGGTGGGACATAGCGTATTTTGATACAAATAGCATTAAGTGGAAGGTAAGGCAGTTTTGAGTGTCCGGAATATAAGGGAATGTTGAAGCATTTAGACCTAGGTGTTTTAATCTTTTTAAATCGCTGTCTGTGTCTCCAGTCCTCAAGCTGCAGGGACATTGACATTCTCCACGCCATTCTTTGCCAAACATTTTGCACACGGCTTGCATTCTACAGGCTGATTTGTTCCCTCCATGTCCCAAACTGGGTACTGAGGGTGGCACCCGTTCTCACCTAGCATCTCAGAGTTAACCCCATCTCGATTGAGAAGCCCACAAAATCATGTCTTCAGCTTTGTTCCAGATCTATATTTGGCCGTCTATTTAATTTGGCTGCCTGTTTGACTTTTCCACCAAGATCTAATAAAGCATCCAAAAATGAGCTCCCAATCTCCGATACCCTCATTTTTTTTTTCATTTGTTCAATGTAGAAAGCCCCCCACCTCCACCCCCTTTTATTTTAACTTTTTCTTCCTGGCCACAGTTAAGCCATCAGGAAATCAAGGCATTTTCTGGACATTTCTGGATAGCCCTAGACATGTGCCATCAATGGAGTCATACATGTGGCTTTCTGTATCTGGTTTTGTTCATTTAGCCTGTTTTCCTGGATCACTTGTATTGTCCATAGCAATACTTGGTTACTTTGTATGCAGATCTCACACTGTGCTCCTCATTCAGCATCCAAGGGCTACTTCTCTTGTCTGTTCGGACTGTTAGGGGAATTGCTGCTTATATGCAGTTTTCTTTTTTGTTGTTTGAGGCAGGGTCTCACTGTTGCCCAGGCTGGTCCTAGCCTCCAAGTGCTGGAATTACAGGCATGCATATAGGCTTGTCTTAAAGGAAAAACGAGACCTGTTTGTGACTTCTCCTGGGAAGTATGAGAGGGAGACACACTGTTTACCTTTATGTTTTGGCATTGGGGATCGAACTCATGGCCATGTGCATGCTAGGCTAACATTCTACCACTGAGCTACATTCCCAGCTCCTGCTTACTTTTTTGAACTAGGTACTTTTTTTATTCAAGTTTATATTTTTAAAAGTTTTCTTTTTAAATTACATTTGTGTGTGTGTGTGTGTGTGTGTGTGTGTGTGTGTGTGTGTGTATGGTGTAAGTGTGTGGGCAGGTGTGTGCCAGTGTGTGTGGAGGTCAGCAGACAACTTGTGGGAGTTGGTTCTCTCAACTCTATGAGTTCCAGGAATTGAACTCAAGTTGGCAGGCTTGGCAGCAAGTGCCTTTACCTTCTGAGCTCTATCTCTAGCTGCTAAGTATACATTTCATAGTTAAAACTACAACCCCTGACCTCTGATAGTATGACCGCGAGTAAGTAATCGTATCTCTGTCTTTCAGTTTTACCATTGTAAATAAAACTGGACAAAGTATTTGCTAAGGTCTTTTTCAGTTCTCAGATTGTGTATTTCTATGATAAAATGATGTTATGGGATTCTTCTCATGGTGTTATTCTTTATAGCTGCATTATAACTTAGCTTGTTTTCATCATAGGACCTAAAGTGCTTGCTACAATGGAAGGAGTCAATAATTTCAAGACACCAAACAAATTATCTGAAAAAAGGAAATCTGGTAAGCTTGCAGAAGTAAGACTTTTCTTGTTGCTGTTTCTACTGGAGAAGTTTTAGAGTTTGCTCATTGTCATTGTCTGTGAACAGTCGTAGCATTGGTTATTACAACCGTGCTAACCATAATGGAGTGCGGGCCAGACTTTCTGTCGGCTGACATGGTCGTTCGGGATTTTAGGTTCTTCCTGGTGATGGTCTTCTGCTTGAACCAGATGTTAACAGGAGTTGGTTCTCTCCTAGGAGGAGATTCCTAGGATTCTTCCAGGAGTCCAGCATCAGGCTTGCATAGCAAACACTTTCGCCTGTCGATGTGTCTTGAAGATTGTTTAGGATGTCTGTTTTGTTTGTTTGGTTTTCGAGACAAGGTTTCTGTGTCGCCCTGACTGTCCTGGAACTCACTCTGTAGACCAGGCTGGCCTTGAACTCAGAGATCAACCTGCCTCTACTTTTTGAGTGTTGGGATTAAACCACCGCCTGGCTTGTTTAGGATATCTTTTGTTTGTTTATTGAGACAGGGTTTCTCTGTGTAGCTTTGCGCCTTTCCTGGAGCTCGCTTTGGAGACCAGGCTGGCCTTGAACTCACAGAGATCCGCCTGCCTCTGCCTCCCAAGTGCTGGGATTAAAGGTGTGCGCCACCTCCGCCCGGCCAGGATATCTCAAGTAGTTGGTCATGTATAGATTAACCGACATTTTAACAATTTTTTTCCCCACTCCAAGCTCTATGACTTTTTAAAAAAATTACCTTGTTACACTGGCTTAGCGTGCTTTTGAATAGAGGTACTAGTGTGCATATTTGTGTTGTTCCTGATGTACATTGATGTAGCTGTTCACAGATGTATTTATCAGGCTCCAGCCTTTCTCTAGCCTCTGAATCCTGAGATTATAGCTTGTGCTCCCACACCCAGCCCATAAGGACCTTTAAGAACATCTGTTTAGTCCTCAGACTATCCTTTACATCAGTGAGCATCTTTCTGAGGTTGTGTCTGTTTTTATGATTTGTTACTCTGTCATCCCTGTCCTTTAGTGGTATGTTTCGATTGATTTCTTTTTCTTCTGGCATGAACCCTGGTTTCTGCTTCTTTCATAGCTGGTAATTTTTGACTAGGTGGTAGGTGTTTTATGTCTTCGAGTGCTGGATTTTGTTACTCTACAGGGTGTGTGGTTTTATGAAGCCCCAAAGCTTATTTGGTTGGATGATGGTGAGCCTGCTCCTTTTGAGACTGGCCTTTAAGCTTTCTTACAGACTTTGCTTAAGCTAAAAGTTAGCAGTAGTACTGAGTTGTTACCCTTTCAAGGGCTTCACTTAACAGTCTGCTACAGTGCCTCCTGGTTTGGCTGATGATGGTAAAGTGATCTTACCCCTAGGCTTCCATTGCTTTCTTGGTTTGGGGGATACTACCTATTATGTGTGCAGTTAAGTACTAGCCAAGCACTCTATGGGAAATCTTTTCTGGTGTCCTTTTTCTTTCTTTTAGCTCCCTCCTGTGTTCTGCTCCGCAGCTTCCAGCTACCTAGTCCTCCTTGGCCTCTGCTCTCTGTGTCTGGTTTAACAGTACTCTTGGGTTTTTCCTCGGTGCTTGAGTCTGGGACTGCCTTTCGGTGCACTGGGGCAATGATGGGGCTTGCTTCGTCAGTTCGTCTTTGCTCAGGGGTCACAGCTCTGCTCTTCCTCTTGTCACACATCTGGAAACTACTGTATTGGTCAGGTTTTCCAGTTCACAGAGAGAGCAGCTCCAAGAGCAGTGATTCCTGACCAGAAGCAGACCTGCCTCATCTTTGTAATAATTACAGAATGCTCTGAATTGTTTAGATTTGTTTTGTTTTTGCAGAGGCCTAAGCAAATTCTAGTATACAAACATGTGTCCATGGTGTGTGTGTGTGTGTGTGTGTGTGTGTGTGTGTGTGTGTGTGTGTGTGTGTGTGTGATCTCCTTGGGCACATGTCATGGGATCAGGAAACTTTATGTAAAAGGCCAGGTTCTACACATAGTTCCAGGCATGTCCAGCCTGTGACACACAGGTCATATGTACCTCAGGATGCTATGAATGTGTCCCAGCACAGAATCATAAAAGTACTTAAAACACTACAAAATTTTCTTGCAATTTTCTGTTTTTGTTTTTGTAAACAGAGTGCTGTTTCTGGGCATGGTCTTTACAGGTGACAGCGTGTCTCAATGACACACGATGACGTTCCTGGTAGACCTTGAGGACCACAATGAGACTTCCTTATGCTTGCTTGTGTGCTTTTCTTCTTTTATCTCTTTATTTTTTAAGATATGTTTTTATGGCTGGGCGGTGGTGGCGCACGCCTTTAATCCCAGCACTTGGGAGGCAGAGGCAGGTGGATCTCTGTGAGTTCGAGGCCAGCCTGGGCTACCAAGTGAGTTCCAGGAGAGGCACAAAGCTACACAGAGAAACTCTGTCTCGAAAAACAAAAACAAAAACAAAAACAAAACAAACAAAAAAAGATATGTTTTTATTAATGACTGTTTGTATGTGTGTATGTGTGCATGCCACATGCATGTGGGTGCCCTCGGAGGCCAGTAGAAGGCATTGGATTCTTTGGAAGTTGGAGTTACAGCTGGTTGTAAGCTGCCTGATGTGGGTCCTGGTTACCAAACTCTGGTCCTCTGGAGGAGCAGCAAGTGCTCTTGACCGCTGAGCCATCTCACCAGCCTCTCAATTCTTTATTTGTAAATAGCCCTTTAAGAATGTAACGAAGGGCCAGTGAGATGGCTCACTAGGTTGACCGAGTGTAATCTGCCCAAACAGTTCAAAAGCTGTCCTCTGACCTCCACATATGTGCCGTGGCATTCACGTCTACACATACACAACTGCAAACACATACCGGGTACACAGACACACAATAATAATTACATCGATTTTTAAAATATTTACCTTGTATGCCATACAAACAGGCCATTTACATTAGTGTTAGTGTGATCAAAGGGTACTCATGTACTCTGTAAAAAATGATGCTATTACTAATCTTCCCAGTGTTTCCAGACAGTGAGGATTCTTCTGTACTGCTGTTTTCAAGTGCTAAGTTCTTGCTTTTGTTTTTGATTTTTAGTATTATGTTCGACTCCATGTGTAAATATCCCGGCCTCTCCATTTATGCAGAAGCTTGGCTTCGGGACTGGGGTCAACGTTTACCTAATGAAAAGGTGAGTGCAGGATTTGTGGAACTTAGGTCCATGTGTCCGAACTGGGTAAGTTCCTCATCACACCTGAAGGCTACATTCCAGTTCTCAGGATCTTGGTAACTGCCAGAGCTCTGCCCCAAGTACTTTACTCCTGGATTCCTCCTGGTGGATTATTAAAAGGGAAGTAGCTTAATGCTTTTCTGGCTTCTCTAGGAAGGGGAAGTGGTAGAAAGATCCTTGGAGGAGAATTGTTCTGTGTGGAGATGAAATAGCTGTTGGTGAAGAAGAGCGTGTCAGGGTTGGGGAACTATTGGCAGTTAATGGCTATAGGGAGGGGAGAGTCGGTTCTCTTTAGGGATGCAGCCCGTCAGAGGCTACCTGCACTCCAGGAGATGGTATTGCACCCAGGCACTAAGGGGACTCAGTGGGCTTAAGGAATAAAGAGCACATGAAGTTAGGGGTGGTGGGACAGAAGAGGATCGGAGGGGTGGGAGCAGGAAGTGCATCTGATCAAAACATGTATGTATGAAATTTCAAGTAATAAAAGAGGGCATACCATTATACATAGACTGTTTAAGTTAAATTTCTTTAATATTATAGAGTCTTGTAACTCATCTCTGCTACATATAGGTAAAATGTTTGATAAAACAGTAGACTGACATGCTAGCAGTTTTCAAGTTTAACTGTACTCTTATAAATTGTAACATTCCATCTTTATCTTTCTCCTTTAATTCCTTCCCAGAGCTTAGATAACAGTGCATCATGACACTGACTTGGTCAGAACAGACATGTAACGTGTTAATGATCTACAGAATTTATATATTTTTAAATACATGTTTCTATGGAGTCAGTTTGAGGATATTGTTAGTTTTTACTCATTTTGTACCTTTAAATTTACACATGTATATTTTAGATCTCCACGAGGGTTGTCTCATTCTCCTTGGGCCGTCAAAAAGATCAATCCTTTATGTAATGATCATTATCGAACTGTGTATCAGAAGAGACTGAGTGATGAAGCTAAGATTTTAAAAAACCTCAATCATCCAAACATCATAGGTAAGTAGAGGCTGACTTGGTGGTAGTGTGTGTTGGAGCAATGTTCTGTGCGTCTGGAAACACTATAGATACACTCTGAAATGGTCTTGCTAATAAAAATCAAGTTGGGCCTGGATGTTATTGGACATCAAGTTAATGTGAATTGTCTAAAGTAAAAATTCACATAAGGAGATGGAGAGATAGACCAGCAGTTAAGAGGACTTGGCACAGTTGCAGAGGGCCCAGATTCAGTTCTTGGCACCCACGTGGTGGCTCACAACCATCCACGGGGGATCCAGTGTCTTGACTTGCACTGGTACCAGGCACACATGTGGTGCACATATTTACATGCAGGCAAAATATTTATACACGTAAGAGAAATCTGAAAAGAAAACATTGAAAATCCACATATTTTAGATGTGTAACCCTCAGGGATTGAGGTGCAGTCGTCTGGTGCAGGTGCTGTGAGGATCTCAGGACTTAGACTGGTCTTCATTTAGATTACTTACGTGTATATGGATGGGTTCTTGCATTGTTTTCCCTTTGCATGTTTAGTACTAATGCAGCTGGGGGAATCATTCTATTGATGAAAGCATAGGAAAACTGTTTTGATCTGTGGTGCTACACACACACACTTGAGGACATTTACATTATACCTGTGGGTTAATTTTTTAAATGACAGCTGTCTCATTATATTAGTTTAGGTCCAAGTTACATTACGGAAGAAGCCCTGGTTTCCAGAGTCTAATAGAAAACTGTTGCACTTTCTTAAGGGTATCGTGCCTTTACTGAAGCCAGTGACGGCAGTCTGTGTCTCGCTATGGAGTATGGAGGTGAGAAGTCTCTGAATGACTTAATAGAAGAACGCAACAAAGACAGCGGAAGTCCTTTTCCAGCAGCTGTGATTCTCAGAGTTGCTCTGCACATGGCGAGAGGGCTAAAGGTAACTGTGTTATTCTATCTTACCTAGCTTTGGTGGACAAGGAAGAAAGTAAACATGGGTTACACCTGTGGTGCTGTGTTTCGATAGATACAGTCTAAGGTCTAAAGGTAACTGTGCCATTCTATTTACATAGCTTTGGTGAACTAGGAAGAAATTAAACGTGGGTTAACCTATGGTGCTGTGTTTTTCAATGGATACAACACAAGGAAAGAAAAGAAATGTATATAATAATTAAGTACTAGTAATAGTGACTCTGGGAAACTACTGATGACTCACAGTGTAATGATATAGTGATGTCAGGGTTACATGCTAAGGTTTATGAAATTGGTTTATGGAGCAGATTGAGAAAAAAGCATTGTAAATACAATTAGTACTATTTAGTACATTTATAGATAAGATAACTTTAAATAGGATAGAGCTGGGCTTGATGGTGCACACCTTTAATTCCAGAGAGGCAGAGGCAGGTGGATCTCTGAGTTCAAGACCAGCCTGGTCTGTAGAGTGAGGTCTAGGATAGTCAGGGCTACATAGAGAAACCTCATTTTGGGAGGAGGGGGGAGTGGGGGGGACCACAAAGGATAGAAACATCTGAATTACTGACTGATGGCTCTAAGTATGTATGTATAATGAAATTAATAATATAACCATGTTGAGGCCTATTGACCACACGCTGGGCTGCATTTGAAGTAAGCATGGGAAGCTCCTGTGGAAGAGCAGGTCATGGCCTCTCCTTTCTAAGCTGGGCACATAGTATAGTGCTCAGGTGCTGATAAATGAACAGCTATTTTGCAGCATTGTTCAAAATGTGACTGTAATTACATACAAACCCAAAAGGAGTTGATGCATAAAACATAATATAGCTTTGGAGTACATCTCTGCTTCTGCTCATGAATTATAGTGGCCCCATGTCACCTGCTCTTCTTGCATTACACCACAATTTGAGATAAGTTTGCTTTATGGTGAAGATTTCAAAATTTAAAACTATTGGCCTCAAGTGAAATTGGAGTTTTGAAATCCGATAGAAAACTATATGGGCTTTGAGAATTCAGACATCTTTAAGAAAATTTTTAAATGACCTGGCATGTTCCCTTCCTAGCTTCAAGTACTTTGAAATAGATAAGTAAGTTCAGTTTATAAGTCATTGATGGTTTTTTAAATTTGTTTTTTGAGATAGGCTTTCTCTGTGTAGCTCCTGCTGCTCTGGAACTCGCTCTGTAGACCAGGCTGTCCTCGAACTCAGAGATCCTCCTGCTTCTGCCTCCCTAGACATGCGCTACCACAGCCTGGCTCAAGTCATTGTTTTATTGAAAGAATTTTTATTAGTTTTTTTTTTCTGCTTATATATTTGATTGTTTTTACAATTTTAGTATCTGCATCAAGAAAAGAAGCTGCTTCATGGAGACATAAAGTCTTCAAATGTTGTAATTAAGGGTGATTTTGAAACAATTAAAATCTGTGATGTAGGAGTCTCTCTGCCATTGGATGAAAATATGACTGGTAAGTACCATTGTTGTAAACTTCTACAGTTTTTGAACTCCTAATTCCAGCATTCTAAAACATAATAAACCACATGGTTTCAAATGAACTGTTTGTGGTAAGTGTATAATACAGAGTGTCTTTTGCTTTGCTTTTGTTGTGCTTCCTCTGAGCTCCCAGCTCCTTCCCTTGCTACATGCACAGTTAATGACCTTTCGGTAGTGTGTCTGTGTATTTTTTGTCTTAGTTTGACTTGTTGATCAGTTTAGGATGGCCTCAGGCTCACAGTCCACCCACAGTCTTCAGTGTGTGCCCACACTGGCCCTTACTAGCATGGATTTTACCCGAATAATTTTGGAAAGACACACCCACCACACTAGAGCTTCTGGGCATTTTCTAATCCAATCATGCTGATCAGGGTTGACTATTATGTCTTCCCTTTTCTCTTCAAATGTTTCCTTATCTACTTGTCAATTTATTGAGAATCTCAAAGCAGAATTTTGAAGAGAAGCTTCTTTGATTAAACAAGCTGCTTGTTTTTCTCTCCCATTATTTAGAAGTTAGGTATAAGCATAGTGTTTTCAATTCTAACCTTATTTGTAAAATGGAGATTATAGTACCAAAATTACTGAAAAATTATATTTTTAGTGTAATATACTTTAACACTGTTCAGTGAATTTGATTTATCTTAGAGAAATTGAGTTTTAAACAGGTAAAGGAAATTTTGCCTTAAGGACGATGTCATAGAATAGTGGACAAAGGGATTAAATTAGAGACTACTAGCAAAAATATCTAGGAGAGCCTTGAGTTTTGGGAGTTTAGCAATGCAAATTTACATAACTATTGGGGAGTCACTGGCCACAGTTTTGGAAACTCTTTTGAACTGATTTATAAAGTGAAACAACTTGTAAAGTCACTAGTTTCCCACAGAAACTTGTAGCTATTAGTGATTATGTTAAAAATGACAAAACTCACCCCTGTTGGCTGCACTTCCTGTTGTCAGCCAGGATAGAAGAGCAAAGTCCATGGGGGGAATAAGAAAGATAGGAACTGAAGTCTCTGGGAAATGTTAATAAAGCCAAAAGCTGGATGTATGGAAAAATAAAAGTTCTCACCAAGATTGAGAAAAGAGAGAACGTAACCACCAATGTCAGACATGAAGATGGTCACAGCTACACATTCTACACATGTGTAAGGACTATTACAGGCAGCTGTATTTCACCAAATATGACAGCTTATATGAAAATGACAATTTCCTTGAAAAAATGCAGTTATCAAAATTAATATAAGAACTAGGAAATCCAAAAATAACTAGTAAGAAGCATTCCTACAAAAAATCTCATGGTTGATTTAAGAAGAGATACTAGGATGAACGGCTATCCATTGTATCCTATATACTAGTAAATAACAAGAAAATGGAAAGTTAAAAAGTCCATTTATAACTGATAAAACCCCAAGATATTTAAAAATCTAAGAAGAAAAAAAATGAATAAATCTACTAAGTCTAAGCCTCTAGTCTGGAAGCCATAAAGAATCACTGAGATGGACCCAGATAGAGAAAGATCTGTGTATTAGAAGACTTGATATTATTGAGATGTTAATTCTTTGCAAATTGATCTAAGGAGTCCATTCTTTCCAAATTAATTTTTGCTGTTGTTTGTTTTTGTTTTTGCTTTTCTATTGAAATTGACAAAATGACTTTAGACTGTAAGGGACTGTGAGTGGCATGCGCTACTCCTGGGCGGATGCTTTAAAAGCCAGTGTGTGATTATCCCTCTGGTTCTCCTGACTTAGCAGTCATGGAAGCCCTGAGGTTTCATGTGGCTTTCCTCTGTGACTTCAGAGCTTAGAGAAAACCCAAGACCTAGACATGGAGTTGTCTGCTGTGTCACACAGCTTACATGCCTTTAAAGCTACAAGGTGGTCTGGCTTGAGTCTGGAATTTTGACATCTATCTATACTCTAAATTCCTGTCACCTATGAGAACTGTTTTATTACATTCCCATCAACTGATGAGGTTTTAATACTTACTAGTTTGATAAGGGACAGATCTCTATAGTGAGGTTGAATACAGTGGTTAACTTCTGAACTCCCCATATAAATGAGTTTTGCTTGTGTTGTTTTGTTGGTTGCTTGTCTTTCTCCATGATCTTTAACGCCTGTTCTTATGACTGTTCTACTTGTATTTTTTTGTGTCTCAGTGTCTGATCCTGAGGCCTGTTACATTGGCACTGAGCCATGGAAACCCAAAGAAGCATTGGAGGAAAACGGCATTATTACTGACAAGGCAGATATGTTTGCTTTTGGTCTTACTCTGTGGGAAATGATGACTTTATGTATTCCACATATCAATCTTCCAGATGACGATGATGATGAAGGTATAAATACAAATAGGTTTTAACGTAAATCTGAGTTTTTTTCTGGTAACTAGTACATAAGTTGTCTTTCCATTAAAATTCAAACAGCAAGTTAAGATAGTAATACTGTGATTAATTTGGCTAGATTTACTCTCATACAAATGAGATATAGATTGAGAATAGGGACATAGGGGTATTCCTCCCTTGTAACTCCTTCACCCATGGGTTCTCATTTTTCTTTAATAAATCTACATTTGCTGGATGGGTAGGTGGAGTATCTAGTTGGAAGTTTCCTTAACTTCTTGCTGGAGAGAAAATAGCTAATCTCTGTGGCAGGAGAGCTGAACAGACTGCCTGTGGTATAGGGGAACACTTGCTGGATAACTGTCTTGTTGCAAGGGGGTAGCTGTTGAGCTATTCCATAACCTACATGATTTTGCTTATTTCCATCTCTACCTCCCTCATGTGCAGATACAACCTTTGATGAGAGTGACTTCGATGATGAAGCATACTATGCAGCTCTGGGGACCAGGCCATCTATCAACATGGAAGAACTGGATGAGTCCTACCAGAAGGTCATTGAACTTTTCTCTGTGTGTACTAATGAGGATCCTAAAGATCGTCCTTCTGCTGCACACATTGTTGAAGCTTTGGAACTAGATGTCCAGTGATGCTGTTTGTGGTGGTCTAAGCATGAAGCACAGCTTGTATGTGAACTGTTGACTCAGATGCATTTATTTAGTTACTATGACCTGCAGTGGCTAGACTCTGGAAGTGGCTTATTTTAGGACCACTGCACATAGTTAATATTTGCATAATTTTCTGAAATGTTATTTCTTATAAGCATTTAAAGTGGCTTATTTTAGGAGCACTGTATATAGTTAATATTTGCATAATTTTCTGACATGTTATTTCTTACACGCACTTACTGTACTGGATACTAACTCTTCACGTACCTAGATGCTGCCCCTACTGATTTAAAACACTAGTCACCCTGTCTGGAGAGGACTTAGAATGAGGGACCATTGCTTTAATAAAGATCTTTTCAGATATTTCTCTTTAGTGGGTTAAAAATGTCACTTTATACAGTACAAAGTTAATTTGCATCTGCTCATAAAGTGTCCACCATTAGCTGGCCTGTTGGCCCATGTGCTTATTAAATGTTCCCTGGAGCTTGAGAAGAACATGGTTCAGAAGAGTCGCTCCTACGGTTTTCAGACCCTGGTTACAGCTGTCTTGCATCTCTTCACATCTTAGTGTCTAACTTATTGAATATATTTTTATGCTAATATATTTTGTTTTTACTGATTGTATCCTAAGTCTTTTAAAGTCGTGATGTAAGAATAAATAATAAAGGACAGTTTTGGTACCAGCCACCTCAGCATTATCTTTTATTGTGTTGCCATTGGACTTGTAGAGTGAATGTGGGTTTTCTTGAAACCTTATGTTTAAAGTGAGGTTAAATTGGATCAGTTGTTTGAATCACAGCTCTTTGGAATTACCATAATTAACTGAATTGGTGAAACCAGGTGGTATACTCAGACTTGGGCTAGATATTCAGCAACAGATCACTAATTAGCATGCTGTCCACCAAAACAGTAGGAAAGTGATAGCAAATTGAAAGTTTACTCATAGAAAAATTATGTAAATGTGCACACAGATTCAGTAGTCTTAACCAACCCTTTTTCTGATATATCATTTTTAGTAGGTTTGCCCAGTGACCTGCTCATAGACCACAAAGCATGAATTGGCTCTAATACATAAAATTTGCACTTTGAGACTTATTCCCAGTTTCTATAGACACTCCATTTCCCACATATCATTTTATATAACTATACTTGTCACAATAAACCAGTACTGGCATGCAATTCAAGTCCACATCTTATTTGGATTTGTTTAGTAACTACTTTTTCTGTTCCAAGATCCCATTCAAATGCCATACTTGGGGATGCCACAACCCCTTGACCACTAAATTTCAGAGTGTGGTGGTTTGTATGATAGACCTTAACTGGGAGTTGTCTGATGTTGATTTCATGTTCACATGGGACAGGACCTGAGAAAGGTAAATAAATACACTTCTCATACAGCAAACCATCGAGTATCATGGTGACACTGTTGACTGAGCTGTCACTATTGGCAGAGTGTCTGCTAGTACCGTACTCATTTATGTTCTCATAATTCACGTCTCAGTATGGACTCATATTACACGACTTGATGCTGCTATTCAGATCAGCTTGTCGCAATGTCTCTGCTGGGGGTTTTCAGTGGGCTCCAGTGTTCCTTTGACATGCACCAGAAGATGTGGCTTTCCTTTTTAAACTTTTTGATATTGCAAGATCTAGGCTCATTCTGTATAATCTCTGACCCAGCAACTCCAGATTTTTTTTTGAGAAAGGTTATTATAAACAAGATCTAAGTGCTCCATGTACTCGTTGCTGTTATTAAATACCAAGACTTGTGTTTGTGTGAAACCAAACTGTAAATAGAGCAACGGTGTCAATACAACCCAGTGTACATTTAAATCCTAAGACACCAAGTGAATTGAGCTGCAGAACTCATCGGAAGCAATGTATCTACACCCAAAGTAGGATTATAGGGATACTATATATTTTTTTATTTATTATTTTTTTTTTTTTTTTGGTTTTTTGAGACGGGGTTTCTCTGTGTAGCTTTGTGCCTTTCCTGGAACTCACTCTGTAGACATGGCTGGCCTTGAACTCACAGAGATCTGCCTGCCTGTGCCTCCCAAGTGCTGGGATTAAAGGTGTGCCAGGAAACTTTCTTTCAGCATACTATTTCCCTAATATCTCTATAGTTTTGTTTTCAAGATATTTATGATAAAGAATAATTTATCAGAGTATTAACAGATGTTATGAATTTTGGGCCAGTGAGACGGCTCAGTAAATAAAAATGCTTGCATAATCCTGACCACCTGACTTGCATCTTTGGAACCCATGGCAGAGAAAGAACTGACTCCCAAGAGTTGTTCTCTGGCCTCCATGTAGGCACCGTGAAATGCACACATGCACAGGCAAACACACTAATGATAATTATAAAAAATTATAATTGATTTCTCAAAAATCATTGAACAATGAAATAATATTAATAAACTTTATAATAAAACATTTAAAGAGAAAATAGCATTAAAATGTTTGCATAATTACAGATAATTTTAACACTTACACATTCTTTTTGGAAGTATTACAGGCAAATAAGACTTAAAGATGAACCGATTTTTACAATGAACAATATAACCTAGAAACAAAAACTTCTATGTCTCATGCCAGATATTAATTAAACAACCATTAAGAATTAAAACAACCTGAGTAATTTTTTGCTTTACAAATGAGTATCCAAAGTATACTAGAAAATTGAGTGCCCTTGGGTGTACAGAGTATTCCATAAGGTCATTGTGTTCCTAGGTCCACTTGTTGGGTTTATGACTTCAATTACCTACCAGCATTTTCACACAATAAAAACCTCAGAAGACAACAGTGCCCAATACAGTCTTAGTTAAATTTTATGATGTGTGCTTTTATTAATATCCTAAGGGATTAAAATACTAAGTTATAGAATTATTTCATATAAATGGATATGAGATAATGATTCCTGGTATCTTATTCTACATAGGAAATTCAAAATACTTTCTAAGTATTTTCAACTTAGCTGCTACAGTATGCTTATAAAATGAGAACGCTACATAAGGAATTCTGAAATGATCTTATTGTCTGTGTTGAGATTTGCTTCTACTGGTGAAGCATGAGACAATCATGGTCTAAGTGTGTTCACGTGTTCCTTTATAAAGTGGTCAAGTTTCTGCAGAAGCCAACTTGCTGTAAAAGTTTTCAAAATTAAGAACTCAGTGTATCCAAAGATGATTTTTTCTCTGAATCTCAAACCAACAAATTATCTAACATATAAGAAATAAAATTGGTATGCACATGTGTACAAGTCTTATAATTTTCATTCTGATACTAATGAGTTATCTAGCTGAATTCCATACAGTACCAGTTTTGTGGTTGCAAATGGCTTTAGCTATGAAAATTATATACAAGGAAATTAGGGGTGTTGCAGTACTTGGTTGCAAATAATTTACCATCTGGTGTTGGGTCAGAAAATGCAATTTCATTAGTGCTGAGAAAACAGCCAAACATGAAGCAATTCCTACAAAATAAAAAAAGAGAAAACCATTTATCAACTAAAATTTTAGATTTCGATTAAACATAAACAATTATATACATTAAACAATATAAGTAATCGGTCAAAACTACTACTGTTTTTGGTACCAGAATGCCTTGGATTTAGAGATGGATGTCCCATGGCATCATCTCAGATCAGAAACTCAAAGGTCCACAGACTGGAAAGAGAAAGAAAACTAATTTCCTCAAGATGACGTCTGACTTCCAAAAGTATACCATGGCATGTCCACACCACACACAAAACAAATGATAAACATACCACCACCAAAGAAAAATAAAAACTTATTTTTCTCAAACCAAATACAGATGTTTGAGAAGGCTAAAAAATCTAAAATTTCCTTGATCTTCTTCGACTGTAATTAAAAGTACTGAAAATAAAGTAGTTAAAAGGGGTTCAAGGTTGGTGAAATGGCTCAGTCACTTAAGGGCACTTACTGCCAAGTCTGATGACCTGAGTTCAAACTCCAGGATCCATATGGGGGTAGGAGAGAACTAATTCCTGCAAGCTGTCCTCTATACACATGCTATGACACATGTGTTACCTCCCCTGCCCTGCCCTACATACAAAATAAGTAAACAAATGTTAAAAAACCCTCCAGGGGATTCTGTAAAATAACTAGTTATACTCTAGGTTCATGCTATGGCACTTCTGGGAGGTGATGCCTAGTTAGAGGAAAGAGGTTGCTCAGACATGTTCTTAGGTGCTCCATCTTGCACCTGCTTCTTCTTGTATTTCCCTTTGTCTGCTGCTTGGGCGCCATGAGGTAAGTTGTTCTGCTCATCAGTGCCCTCCCTGCCATGATGGACTGACACTTCTGAAACACTGAGTCAAACTTAATCATCCCTACTTTAAATCAGGTCAAGCACCCTGTCACAGCCACAAAAAGGTAAAGCACTTCAAACTCTTCAATGTGGTAAAAACCAGATGGGCTAAGAAATGTCCCAGGTTAATGGAGATAAAGTCTAACCAAACCGGAACATGGGGCCAAATACTGGTGATTCCAGCACCTGGCAGGCTGTGGCAGAAACATCATTAGCTCAAGGACAGCCTGAGCTACACAGGGAGTGTCAAACAGGATAAAAACAAACAAACAAACCAGCCATCTAAAGCAGTGGTTCTCAACCTTCCCAATGCCACAACCCTTTAATACACTTCCTCATGTTGTGGTGACCCCCAACCATAAAATTACCTTTGTTGCTACTTTATAACTGTAATTTTATAGAGGAGCAGTGTCTCAGTTCCTAAGACCTTTGGAAATAAGTGTTTTCCAATGGTTAACCTATAGGTTGAAAACCGCTGATCTATAGAAACATAACCACTACACAACGTGACCTTGCATAGGGGAAAAAGACCAGTAAAAAGCATTTGAGATTAAGTCATGATAATGAAACCTGAACTATCAACTAGATAAAGACATTGGTACTATTTTTTGAACTTGACTGTTCTCTGGTTATATAAGAACACAAATATTCTTATTGTTAAGAAAAGTAAACTAGGCTGGGTGGCGGTAGCGCACACCAAAATCCCAGCACTCGGAGGCAGAGCCAAGCGGGTCTCTGTGAGTCCAAGGCCAGCTTGGTCTATGGAGTGAGATCTAGGACAGGCACCAAGACTATACAGAGAAACCCTATATCGAAGAACAAAAACAAAAAAAGGAAAATAAACTGGGGGCTGAAGAGATGGCTGAGTGTTGGGAGTACATATATACTTGTAGAAATGAAAGAGAATGGCCCTAAAGGCTCATATATTTGAATACTTGGTTCCTAGTTGGTAGAACTGTTTAAGTAGGATTAGGTGTGTCATTGGGGATGGGTTTTGATATTTCAAAAGCTCACGCCATTCCTAGTTAGCTTTCTCTGCCTCATGCTTGTGGATGAGATGTGAGCTCTCAGGTACTGCTCTAGGACCATGCCTTCCTGCCTGCCTACTGATGGTCACCCTGGAACCATGAGTCCCCAAATTAAATACTTTCTTTTCTAAGTTGCCTTAGTTATACTGTTTTGTCACAGTAATATACAAGCAACTAAAACAGAGGACCTGAGTTTGGTTTCCAGTACCCATATTGGGTGGCTCACAACTATCTGTAACTCTATCCAGCTCTGAGAGACCAGGATCTGATCTCTTTTGGCCTCCAAAGACACTGCACTCACATGGCTTACTCACATGGCTTACACAC